TGGAAAGACCGAATCTCTCAGGTTTGCTGAAATCGATGCTCGTGGAAGGCTTTGCTTCCTCCAAAGGAAGACTTGTTTAATAGATAGCTTACATTGTAGACTTACTTTATGAATGAACATAAAACATTCACATGTGCTGGAGGATGTTTGCTCGATACCTGCTGCCTCCTCTGATGCTGTGGTCTCTGAGGCTCTGGAGAAGAATAAATTGTGGTCTCTTTCACTGAGGCTGAGCCAGTTCCTCATGAGCACTGTCTCTTATCATTTTCCTAAGAATCCAGTCATATCCTGTATCACAGATTATCTGAAACTTTGACTAAAGGCTTGCAAGGTCATTGGGAAGGACAACATCAAATTTATCTCAGCACAGCCCTGTTGTGACTAGGGTGCAATTTAGCACCTGGCCCAGGTGCACTCGCACTGTGACTTGTGTCATCTGCAGGGAGCCAATGGTATAATTCTTTATAAACTGATATCTACGTGTACTCCACTTTATATTATATTCTCTTGAATTGTGGTGCTTTGTATTGAATTTTATTCCTACTTTACTACTGCTTAAGGCATTTCGTGGTTTTAGTGTTAGCTTGCCCTTATCATCATCAGCTTGCCAAAATCTTATAAATTCATATAAGATTTCTTAGCATCAAATGATCAGAAATGTTTACCACTATCATCTCATGATCTCTCCTTTATTGTGCTTTTAAATTACATCTTAGATTTTATAATGGCATAGTTATAAATGACACCAAGGAAGTGATCTAAAATATATTCTTCAGCACAAGAAAGTAGGTGTTGTTGCAAATCTGTGAATTTAACAACTTCTTTGCTAACTTAATTTTTTTTAAAGTTTGTTTTTGAAGTCATTTTGAATTTACAGAAAGGTTGCAGAATATCACACAGAAAGCCAGTTACCCTTTATCCTGTAGTGATTTTTCAATCATTAACATTTCTAGGAAGTCACAGACATGATGGTCTGTGGCTCCTAATACTTCAGTCTATGTTTCTGAGTTCAAGGACGCTCTCTTACAAGACTGCAGGGCAGCAATTAAAGCGGGAAATTAACATCAAACCAGTGTTACCATGTAAACTATAGGTGCCCTTCAGTGCCAGTTATCCCAGTAATGTACTTTATGTCCAAGATCCAATCCAGGATTGCATATCTTTAGCTTTTGTGTCTTTCAGTCTCCTTCAAGCCGGATCAGTTCCTCTTTGTCTTTCATGATCTTGATCGTTACCCATTAACTTTGTAGAATGTTCCTCTGCTTGGGATTGATGTCATCTCCTGATTTATGAACTTTTGCAGGGCTACCACCCAAAAGTATATCATAACAGAGGCAGGTGGTTTTAATTTGTCCTGCAGTCAGTTATGTTAACATTGATCACTGGGTAAGGTAGTATTTGCTAAATTTCTCTATGCCAAAGTTAATGTGTATTATGTAAATATAAATCAATAAGTAATTTATAAGTACTTCATGGGGAAATACTTAGAGGTTGTGTAAATCCAGTCAGTTCTCATTATTCTTCATGGCAGTTATCTTCTATAGAGTCACCTTGAACATAGAATTAGCGAATACTGAAGCTTCGCCCTAGGGGAGATGCAGGGTGGGTTCCTGTCACAACCTAATCAGCAACCCCTTAGCTTAACCTTGCTTTATGTGTGTTTCTGTGTAAAGAACCCCTTATTTAATATATACTGTTGATTCATTGGCACTGTGATCACTGCCAACAGCACTGTAACCCCTGCCTGAAGGAAGCTCAGGTAACACAGTTTCTCTGTAAGTTCATCTCAGCCACCTGTGCTCAGGGAGTCCAGACAGCGCTGCAGCTCTGCCCTGGGGGACCAATTAAGTAAGCAGTCCCCAGCCAAAGACACGACAAGGAGAGGAAGGGAACAGTGTATTGTGAAAGGAGCCTCACCTTATGGGAGCTGTAACAAGAAGACGGAGCATCACCTGGTTTTACCTCAGCTGGGAGTGGACAAGTTGGATGACTGAAACTTCAGCTCTTCTGAGCATAGCTGCATGGCTGTTTGAGCTTTCAATTTGGGGTTACAAATCAGTTTTAGCAAGTAGATGAATTTGCAGATATGAAATCCACAAATAATGAGGATCAACTGTATCTTGTTCCTGTTAGTTTCACTTGCCAGTTTTCACAGCCATTGAGATCAAATTATCCCAGATTGTCCTTTGCGAATCCTTGAAGATGTCTTTCTGACACACCACTATTATTATGTGAGCATTTCTTTACTTTCTTCTTAAACAAGATTTTCCAAGCTTGTCTTGTATTTTGTCTGCCCCAGCTCTGAATTTAGACATTTCTCTGGTTTCTTTTAGTGGGAAATGGCTTCTAGAAACCGAGAACTGGGTGCTACGTGGGCTCGTATCTACCGGAGTGTCTTTGTGTCCAAGCCCTGCTATCAGACAGAATTAGGAAATACCCCCCCCCACACACACATCTATTTCAGGTGTCAATCTAGCCTGTACATCAATCTTACCTTAGCACCTGTCAACCTATCCTATCCGTCTATCATTATCTAATCTATTTATCCATCTACCCAATTAGTTCATACCAATACTTCCAGCTGTAACCTGGTATCTAACTGTCCCTCCTTCAGTATTCTAACTCTCCCCTTTAGCAGTTAGAAAACTAACTCCTGTGATTCTGTATTTATTAGCTTAGTCCCTCTGTATGTCAGATAACCCCTGCCACCACTGGTTAAAGAAAAAACCTTGGATCCTCTGGCCCTCGGCTCCTGCTGTCTCAGTTAGGGAAGGGCATGCACAAGGTAGAAGAAAGAACAAAGCTAATTTAGAGGTTTTGAAAGTTTAGACTTTTGTAATATTCTTATTAAATAGCAGCATACTTTTATTTTTTAAGTGAAAGTGAAGAGAGAACCATCAGATGTATTTTTAGATACCTTTGAAACTAGAAGCCTATTTTATCATACCAACTATATCTAAAGAAAAAACATCTTGACATAACTAGTACCATTTAAAATATTCATGGGATATACACATTGTCTTTGTGTATTAAAAATAGTTTTATATTTCTCCCAGATGATTTAGATTCAACACACTGGCTTTTTATGTACCAACTAAAGAATTTGAATCTTTAAATGTCGATAGGTAATCTTAACTTTTTAATTTTTAAATTTTGGATATGACATTTAATTTATCATGAAAATATTGGGCAGTTTTATGGAGTGCTTTGATTATATGTGTTTATCAATGTTAAAAAATCATATGTGAGGGGTTGAAGGGAGGGCTGGACAAGGGTGAAAAACAACCAAGAGAGACTATGTAAAGGTGCAAATTTCCAATGATGAATGTCATTATATTGTATACCTAAAATGTACCAATGATTAGAATGAATAATCGATAATGTAAAATAGGAAGAAAAGGTCCAAAGGGGTAGGGGTAGTGGGAGGGGCAGGGGAAAGGAAAGAAGGGAAAGGAAAAAATGATGAGAAATGGAAAAAATGGAAATAAAGTCTCTGTAAATAGGGAAGGGTGGAGGGCGTGAAGGGAGGGCTAGGAATGGGGAAAAAATAAGAACCAAGATGCATTATGTAAAGGTACAATTCCCAATGAGAAATGTAATTGTGTTGTATACCTACAATGTACCAATAAAAGGATTTAATACAAAAAAAAATCATATGTGCAAATTAAATTTGTTTAAAATTGTTCATTTAAACTTTAAAAATGAGTTATGATATTGAACACTAAATTTAATTAAAATTTTAAAGTGATAATGGCAGATAATCTCACTTCCCATGTTTTAGATTCTGATAAATAGGAAGCTATGAATTATAATCTTAATAAAAGTTGTCAGTTAATTTTAATGAAATGACTTTATTATTTTGGAACATAAGGAGATAACTGTTTTCTGAGATGACTGTTGCCAAAATAATGTCTTACCTTTTCCACAAAGGTGTGTAAAGATTACATAAATGTACATTAATTCATATTATTAACATGCAAAAAAATTACAAAAGTCTATATACAAGAAGCTTTTATTCTTCCCTTTCCCAGTCTGAATTTGTGCACAGAATTTAAGCCTGTAAGAGTTCAGTATTGTGTGAATTGAGAAATATACATTTGACCACATGGTGTTTTGGTTTGTTTGATTTTTACTTAAATACGATTACATACGTATATTTATGTATACTTCTGCAGCTTGCTTTATTCAGTAATAAAAATATTTCTTCAAGTTCTTTTACGCTGGTACATATAGCTCTATTCCATTTTTAGCTTCTGTTATACAGCTATGCCATAAATTATCTAAACATGTCACATAGATGAACCTTTAAGTTACCCCTCCCCATTTTTTGTTATTTTATACACTGCTGCAATGAAAATAATTACACACATGTCAGAGGCAAGTTCTGTGAAATAAATACCTAAATTTAGGGATAAGACCTTTCTTTCTCCCTCAAGGACAGCCTAGCAGGTGGCGGGCCCGTCTCTGGCCTCTCGTGTCCTTTGGAGATGGTAGGCCTCTGCTGTCCAGGCCACAGGCACATGGAAGTGATGGCCTCATCCTTTTTAGCTTCTTTATCTACAATTACTTCCTGTTTCATAAATGAGGCTGGAAAATCAGGTGTTCAACAGAATATGTGATTTAAGATTGTCCTGTAGGTACTTTACACATTTAATAGACTCAATAGAAAATGTATTCTAATCAATGAAAAATGCAGAGAATTTATTTTAAATGGTTTTGAAATAGGAGTTGTAGATTGGATACTGTTTGTAAGGCTATTTTGCATGGTTATGTTTTTAGATTTATTATTTCCATATTTTGTTTGAAAGTTTAAAAATCAAACCAAAATTTAAGCCTATTTAATAAAGGGGATGGTTTCTAATCATCATCAGATCTTTGTTTTTATTCTTTTGTGGCATATATTGCTATATGGCTATTTCCAGTTCATTTCAGAAGCAATTCAGTTTTATTTTGTTTTCCATCCATTGTGTATAACATTCGTCATTTTTGTCATTTTGTAGACCTACCAAGAGCAGCTGTCAGGATCTTAAGCAACATGACATTCCTTTTTGTGAGTTTGTCATACACAGCTGAGAGTGCCATTGTAACTGCTTTCATTACCTTCATTCCCAAGTTCATCGAGTCACAGTTTGGTATCCCAGCTTCCAATGCCAGCATCTACACTGGTAAGGCACAGCCACTAGGGCTACTTGAAAAATGATCATTTTGTCCACTAAACCTAAATAGAATGAGGGAAAAGAAAGAAAGTTCAGTCTGACATCAGAGTGTTAAACTAGTTCATTATTGGATATCCATACCCCATATTTTAGGAGGAGGAAATCATGGAAAATTTTTTTTTAAAATTTAGATTGTGTTTCCCTCTGGCATGTTTATCAAATGTATTTTGGGAAGGGAGAGTTTTGCATATTTATGTGTTTATAGTTCTCAATTTAAAAAAAATGAAATAAGCAATGATGTTCAAATTTAAATTTGAACTGATCTTTTTATGAGTTAGACTGGGTCTTAAAGTGTTAAGTTCTAAAAAACAATGATAATGTGGAATATAGATCAAGCCTGTGATAATTTCCCTTCATAAATGTGAGCAGATTTTAATTGAATCACTGGAGGTGCTTGAAATTACAAAGGATATTTGTTAATTTTATTTTAGATGTTTTATGTCCAGGCAAGGTGATTTTTAGGAGTTTCTTTTTCTTTCTTTTTTTCTTTTTTTTTTTTTTTAAAGCTTGCTATTTATTTATTTGTACTGGGAATTGAACTCAGGACCTTGCACTTGCGAGGCAGAGTGCCACTGAGCTAAATCCCCAGCCCTTTAGGAGTTTCTGATAAATGTTCTTGTAATACTTAGTACCCAAATATTCTTTCATAGTGAAATGGACACCTAGAAATGTGGGAACATTAATTCTCAGACATTGGGGGAATTTTCATTGTACTGTGTTATGTGATATTCCAGATATGTCTGTAGTGGTAGTAAAGAGTCAATGACCATCTTTCTAAAGGGTCAATTTATTAATAAAATTTATTTAAACTGTGTAGCATAATGATACCTTTTCACCTGTTTGAGCTCCCATCTTTTGCAATTCTACATTCAATCCCAATAAGCTTGAATTACCTAAAAATGAATAGGCAAAATTATATCACTGTAAAAAGGGAAGTTGATTTGAAATGTTTGTGTAATTATTTTGTTCTCTGCTTCATCTTACACATATACAGAGATAAAATCTGGTTGTGAGCCCTTATTTTCATGAAGAATATACTGCTGTGGACCTTTATAATTGGGCCTTAAAAATATAGTTTTTTATATGTTGGTTTTAAAAATACACGTTTCCTATATTAAGGTAAAATATGCAAATCATTTTACAGTTAGGTTGTCAGAAAATTGAAACCTTCCATTCCTAATTTAACTTTTCCATTACCCTTTGCTGACTCAGTGACTCTTGGAGAAACCGAGAGCTGCCTTGCAACTAGACTTAAAGCTACCTATTAAGGTAGAGTAGTTTCAAGCATTTTCCAGATTATGTTTCAGTATTAAATAGTGTTACCAGAAAGAGCGTTCACAATCAAATAAATCTGAGGTTTACTGAGTTAAAGTATAATAGGTCTTTATACTGCAGGTCTTTTCTTTACCCTTAATATGCCAATATGCATTGTGAAACTCCCCAAGGAAGATTCAGACTTCAATATTATCCAGATTTATTTGCCTGCAAGCCCCTGGTCTTTTAGAGGCATCTTTCTTATGAACAGTCTTCCTCAGGACGCAGGGCGAAGCCATCTTGTGTTCCTCTGTTGCAGCCACACTGAGAGCAGAGCTGTCTAGGTCACACCACTTCCTGCAGAGGTGCCATTTTGACCCCAGGGCTCCTGGGACAGTGGTGCAGTGCTGGGCTGGGTAGGGATTGAAGTAACTTGAGTGCATATTGAACAAGGCCATCACTTAGGTGCTGGTAGAGACAGAAACTAGACAGATAATTCCTTGTGGAAAAGTGGACTAAGAGTTCAGCTGGACCTGGGTGTTTGGTTGCAGAGTTCCCCAGGGGTGTGGGTGGGGGAGCACTCACCAAATGTGGCCAGGAGGATTGCAGGATTGAATAAGTCCAACTAACTTATCCTTATAAGGTTGAACAGAGTCTCTTCATCCACCACACCATTGTGGGATGAAGCAGCAATATCACAAAGTGACTTGCCATTCTGGTTTTGTCAGCAGCTCATTTTCTCTCCTCCCCCACATCTCTCTGGAATTTATGTAATGTTTCATAGTTTATTGTGCTTGGTTAGTCTCAGCTCATGTACTTTTCCTTCCTTTACAGACAGATAACAAATAATAGTCAAGAAATAGACTGATTAAGAGCAGAGGGTGGCCTGGTATATTACAGTAAGATAGAACAGGAATGATAATGCTTTAAAAAACTCCTATTGAATTTTTTTTTTTGGTACTGGGAATCAAACTCAGCACCTTGCACCTGCGAGGCAGGCAGCTGAACCACTGAGCTAAATCCCCAGCCTCCTATGGATTTTTTTAATCAATTGAATCTTTCTTACTTGCTAAACATAGATTTTTATTTTAAAGATTTATTTGGTTTGAGATCTTTTATTTTCTGAATCGTTTCTTATACATGTAGAGTGACACAGAGCATTAAGAAAGTCATCTGAGCAGTATTTTTAAATAGTTTGAATTTCTTTATTTTTGCAATGGTGAGAATGGAACCAAGGGCCATGTAATACTAGATAAGTGCTCTACTACTGAACTATACCCCCAGCCAAACAAAAACAGAGGCAAAAAAACTTTTAATTTCTTATCTGACACAGTTTTTGAATTCTAGTTTTCTTTCCATTAAAAAAAACTTACTTGGATAAATTTCTTGACCAAACATAGTAGTTTGCTCATGTTGGTCACATACACCAAAGACAGGTCTTTGTTCACTCACTCATTCAAATCTTCATGGGACACTAGCTCCAGGTGAGGTGCAGTGCCTATGTGTGGCTGGGAAGATGGACTCCAACCAGGGCCTTAGGTTGCTTACAGATCTGAGGGAAGCTTATGAAATAAGTTAGGAAATGCCATTTAAATAAATTAATAGAAGATGTGGGCTGCAGAGATTATTTTGGCTGGTTGGTGGGGTAGTGTGGTTGAGTTGTTTGTCTTGGAGGAAATGGCTTTTCACCAAGCCTTTAGAGAAAAGTCAAATCTGTCCATTTGGAGGAGGGAGGAATGGTGTCTGTTTCCTGTGGAGGAACTGCTTGAGCCAAGAGAAAGCAAAAGGGGGGAGGATAAGGTGGAGCTTATTCTTGCGAAAAAAAATAAAAAGAAAGAAAGAAAGAGAACCAAAAGAAAGAAAGGAAATAAGCAGTTCACCCCCAGATGAGAAAAGAGGGGCTGTGAAGGCAAACAGGCGGGAGTGGGGTGGGGAAAGTGCTTTCTGGCTCTGGGAGTGGGAGACCCGCCCAGGGACCTCCAACACTGCTTGCTACACTATAACCATCCCGGGGACACCTTGCTCTGGCAGGAGGTGGTGACACCAGTGTCTGATGAGGGCATCACTGCAGCACCGACGTCAAGCCCGTGTCTGTCCTCCTGGGTGTGAATCTACCCACAGCGGCTTGGTGTCGCAGCACATTGTTCCTGTTCATGCCTGCCTGCTAACCCATTGAGGGTCATGTTGCTTCCTTGAGATTACATATTATGAAGTTGATACTTTGGACAAGCCTGTAAAGATGGGAAGAGCCCTGACCTAGGAGCTGGACAGTGTGGCCTTGAATCCTCCCTTTGGGCCAGTCACTTGATTCTTTAAGCTCTATAGAATGAGGGTAATCTCTCCCTGTCTCACTATGTGTCAATGTTGTTGTGAGGATCAAGTGAAGTAGTGAGTAGTTATTTGCTGTAAATCTTACCTAACACCAAATAGGCTCAACAATATAAATGGAAAAATATAACTTAATGATATATCATAGGAAAGACAATTATTATTTAGGATGATAATAGTTACTTTACACTTGAAGTCATGCAGCTGAACAGGTCCGAGAAAGAAACTTCTACGATCATAATAAGGATGATAAAACAACTGGTGACATTTATGGAGTGTTTGCTAAGTACAAGACACTATCAAGCTTTTATATAGATAGCATCATTTAGTTCATGTAATTAAAGCCGGTGCAATAGGTGTTATTATTTATGCCCATTTTCCAGTTGAAGAAACCAAAGTCCGGGGAGGTGTAAGTAACTTGCTTAAAGGCAAATAGTAAGGGAGAGAGTCAGGATGTATTTAGACTCCTTGGAGTCTAAAATATCGATTCATGCCAGGCATAGTGGCATAGTGGCATGTGCCTGTAATCCCAGGACTCAGGAGGCTGAGGCAGTAGGATTGCCATGAGTTTGAGGCCAACCTGGGCTACATAGTGAATTCACGAGCTGCCTGGACTATGCAGTGAGTCCCTGTCTAAAAAAAAATTGTAAAATAAAATATTGACTCATGATTTTAGCTGAAATATTATAATATACATATGCTGTTGTCATCATTTTTGTTCAATTTTTTCACTAGTCTCAAATAAATTGTATTCTAATGATTTTAAGATTGTACTACCCATAGTTCCGCTGCCTGCCTCAAAAGCGCAAGTTCCCGAGTTCCATTCCCAGTACCAAAAAAAAAAAAAGATTCTATTACCCAGTCCTGCAGCAGCCTTTGCTGCTGAGCCAGCTCAAGAACTGTTGATCAGCTGTTGTCCTCACAGCTTTCCTTGGGATCCTGCTTTACTGTAGGGGAGTATAAAGAATTAGACACTGGCTTTGTCTTACAGGTACCCTTGGAAAATTGTTTTGATTTTCCTCTACAGAATAATCAAGATGCTTATTTCTTAAGATGATTAGGTTGGGGTATGAGTTTCTTTTTTTAAAAAATCACTATGATTTTTATTATTGTCCAAATAACCAAGTATCTGTCATCCATGTTCAGCTTCCAGTTTCTGGTTTTGTGGAGGAGATGAGATCAAGGCAGTGCTGTGGAACTCAAGTTGAGGTATTTGGGAATCACTGCATCTTTAGCTGCAAGACAGTGATGGATGAAGGAGTGCTGATTGATTCCATTCTTCTGAGGACATCAACAGCTTTTCTACAATAGTTTTCTAATTTTATTTTAAACATTTTTTTATATATTTATTTATTTTTTTGGTACCA